GGTCCCAGGAGGAGAATGGAAGAGAAGGGATTGCGGCGTGGCCATCCCCCCAGGTGATTTCTTGCCTTCTGTCTGTCCCTCTCTGTCTTTCTGGCAAGCATACGTGCCCTATAGCAAAAACCTCTCAAAAAAAAAAAAAAGCTACTAATCTGTAACAGGTAGCCACTGCCTTACTCATGACAAAACGGAAATGCCTCACTGTTTTTACGTGTGCCAGATTTTAACTGATCTACACCAGAACTCAGATCATGCATGGCTGACGGGATATTTTTGCTGGACAGTCCTGATTTAGGTAAGACTGTCTTGTGGTTAAATGAATATTGCTGTTGTTGTTTAATTTTGATAGTAATTTCAGTTCAGTAAGTGCTTTCACTGTCTGCCCTTTCTTAAGATATCATGAGTGACGCTTTGGTGATCATCTTTCTGCAAAGATGGTGAGTGCCAATTCAAAGCCTACTGGAGATTGGCTTTTTATTTAGGCTTTTGTGTAGCCGGTTATATGAATATGTAAATGCTAGAGAAATCCCTTCACTTCTCAAAACCAAGCAAACTCATCTGTGTTTCACTCTGTGTTCGTTAACCCTTTAAAGGCAAGGGCTGAAGATGAGGTAGTGGCGTCTGCTTTACGAGCTGCTCAAAACTCTGCCGATCTACTTAGCATTCCCTCTATCCGGGACACTGCCCCGTACTTACTGGAAGGCATTTAGTGTGTTTGTGTGTGCTGTCAAATGACTATGTAACACTTCACATGCTTTATAAGTGGCTCGTAAGGTCAGAGGCTTTTGACAAGATTTAGTGACAAGTTAAATTTTACCCTTGCATTCTGTTATCTAAGTCAGACTAAGTGATATTTCGGGATTGTTAGGCAACTGTTTAAAACCACAGAGAGACTGAAGAACTACTGTGTGTGTGATTGGCAGTGGTGCTTTTGCCAGTTTATTCGAAGGCTTCAAGCAGAGTAGCTATACCATCAGCATAGATTTGTAAATTATACCATCATAAGACTTAAGATAATTAAAAACCAAATTTTTAATTATTAAAAATTTTTTAATTTTTTTTTAAATTTCCATTTATAGTAACAAAAAAAATAATAAAATACTCAGGAATTAACTTAGCAAAAGCAATAATAAGACTTGTGCCCTGAGAACTACTAAGAAGGTCCAATAAGTGCAAAGAGACCATGTGCCCCTGGTCCGGTTCGGTATTAGGCTGCCGTGCTCCCCAGGTAGGGCTGCGGACCCGGCGCAGTCCAAATGCCAGCTGCATCTGCTGCAGAACTGACAAGCTAATGGCTCAAATGTGTGTGGAAGTGCAAGGGACCCAGAACAGCACACAAGGAAGACGCCAGAGACAGAAAGGCAGAATGGCCCATACTTCTTCACCTTGAAATTTCCCACAGAGTCACAGTAATCGACAGTGCAGGACTGGCAGAGGACACACACATGGCGCAGGGTTAGAACGGAGACCAGAAACATACCAAACGTCGCTCCATTATTCCCATAAGCTCAGTACTTAAACAAGAAAGGCAAACTCCTCAAAAGGCATAGACTACCAGAACTGCCTCAAAAACAAATCATCCAGGGACTGGCAGGTGGTGTGGTGGTGAAGGGTGAAGGACTCCCACATGGGTGACCATGGTTCAAATCCTGGACCTGGCAGCTTGCTCTCTGATTTTCCCTCTCCACCCCCCCAACTCTGTCCCTCTCTAGTCAAATTAAATAAGTAAATAAATAAAATAATTTTTTAAAACGGTCTTTAAGAAAATCATTAGAATAGTCCTTGTCTGGAAGAGGAAATCATTTATAGTTTAAAAGCCTTCAACAGGAAAAAGAAAAGTCCAGACCCAGAGAGCTGCCCTGGCAAGTGTGTGAGGCCTTTGAGGAAGAGGCCGGATCACTCTGCACCCTTACAGAAAGTGGGAGTAGGCGAGCACAGGGGCCACGCTCGCAGATCGGAGCTCGGCAGTATCGGGGCGTCACTTCTCCCTAAACTGACGCACAGAACAATTCGGTGAATCCCAACAGAACTTCTTTTAATCAACAAATTATTTGTAAACTTTATGGCAAGAAGCAAAGACACTAAAATAACAACCGATTTTAAAATAGAATAAAGTTAGGGGCTCACACTATCTGGTTTCAAGACCCACTGTAAAGTTAAAGCAATCAAGACAGTGAGGAACTGAAAGGTGGGCAAGATCCGTGAGACGGGACAGAGAGGCCAGGACAGAGCCCACAGAGACGCTCCACTGACTCAACAACGGTGCAAAGAGGATCCCATCCAGTAGAGGAAAGGTAGTCTTCCACAGCGCTGGTGGCATGCTCAGACACATGCCAGAAACAGAAAACGCAGGAAGATAACCTGGGGTCGCACCTCGCACCTTACATATCAGTTAACTCAGTGTGAATTGTGACATCGGAAACTTTCAAACTTGCAGAGGAAACAGAAGGAAATGTTTCTGATCATGGTTTAAGTCACGATCTTTGATAAGATACTGAAATCATAAGCCTTGCAAGGAAAAAAATGTTCAATTTGACTATCAGAATTAAAAAGTGTTTATCAAAAGACAAAAAAAAATGAAAAGACAAGCCGCAGACTGAAAGAACATTGTAAAACACATATCTGGAAAAGATCTTGCATCTAGTACACATTGCAGCTCTCAAAATTTCATAACAAGGGGGACCAGCAGTTAGCGTAATGGCTATGTCGCTGGACTTCCATGTAGTCGACCGCAGTTCGAGTCCCGGACCCGATGGCTTAAACTCATGCCGGACGCGTGTGCATGCATGCCCAAGATCTCAAGAGGAGAATGGAGAAGGGATTGTGGCGTGGCCATCCCCCTGGGGGGTGATTTCTCTCTTTCTGTCTCTCTGTCTCTCTCTGTCCATCTGGCGATTGCACACGCCCTATATCAAAAACCTCTCCCCCCACAAAAAAAAAATTCGTAACAAGGAAAGAACAACCCACTTGAAAAACAACGGCGAAAGGTTTGCACAGATACTTCGCCCAGAAGACACACCAGTGGCAGATGGGCATAGGTTAGTCGTTAGGGGAGTGCACACTGCCAGTGATTCTCTGAATGGCTGATGTCCAGAAATCTCTCCAGACCTAGGCTGGCAGAGGATGAGAGCCACTGGCATGCTCGGGCTCGACCGTGCAGCTGCCAGACACCCAGACACTTCCAGAAATGTTAGCCGTTACTTACAAGGTTGAGCGTACACTGACAGTACGGTCCCGGACCCGATCACCAAGAGAAAGGAAAACTCCGGTTCATTCAGAAAGCTGTTTGAGGGTTTTTATAGTGGCTTTACGCGTAACCACGGAGCACTGGGAACAACTCAGACACCCTTAACCTAGGAAGAGGTGGGAGATAGCCACGCCACGTAGCAGTCGTCAGCACAGTTAAATCTCAAGTATTCAAGGGGACTTCAGAAAGCTCCTGCGGGGACCAGCAGTTAGCGTAATGGCTATGTCGCTGGACTGCCACATAGCTGACCACGGTTGAAGTCCCGGACCCAGTGGCTTAAACTGACGCCGGGCACGTGTGTGCATGCCCAAAATGCCAAGAGTAGAATGGAGGAGAAGAGATTGCAGCGGGCCATCCCCCTGGAGGGTGAGGAGAATGGAGGAGAAGGGATTGCGGCGTGGCCATCCCCCCAGGGGGGTGATTTCTCACTTTCTGTCTCTCTGTCTCTCTCTCTCTTTCTGGCGAGCGCACATGTCCTATAGCAAAGACCTCTCAAAAAAAAAAAAAAAAAAAAAAAAAAAGAATATGTTCATTCTGGTGCCGGAACATTCCGTAATCCATGCACAGCATCTGGGTGATTCTCACATCCACACACCTATGGAAGGCTCCTTGTGGTGGGCCAAGTGGAAGAAGCCGTTTAGATTCCCCGTCTCGTCCCATCCTGTCCCAACGTCAGCAGCACGAGACGTCATTGGAGCTGACCGTTTACCCCCCTTTCTGCCTCGGAGTCAGCCCAGCTCCATGGCCCGTGCAGCTGGGGCAGGGCTCTGTGTTTGTGTTGTGGGGAGGACTCTGTGTTGTGGGGAGGGCTCTGGGTGATGGGGAGGGCTCTGTTATGGGAAGGACTCTGAGTTACGGGGAGGACTCTGTTACAGGGAGGACTCCGTGTTGTGGGGAGGACTCCATGTGATGGGGAGGACACTCCGTGTGGTGGGGAGGACTCCCCGTGTGGTGGGGAGGACACTCCGTGTGATGGGGAGGACTCCGTGCTGTGGGGAGGACTCCATGCTGTGTAGGTGGGAGCAGCTGTGGAGGTGCTAGTGTTCACTGGCATTGGTGTCACACCCCTGGCCCCGAGTGTGCACCCCCTCACCACCATGGCCGCCATGACACTGCCCGGGACAGAAGGAAGGGCAGTGTGCCTGGCCCCGTCTTCCCGGTGGAGAGTGCCCGGCCGCCGCAGCCATGTGGGTCAGGGCAGGCCACAGCAGTCCTCACCGATTGGTGGAACCTTCTGGGCCTCAGCTCAGTGTTCTCCTGCCCTCCCCCCGACGTGGACCCCAGCCCCTCGGCCCCCAGCGCAGCGGTGTTAGCAGAGACCCTGGAGAGGGCCCACCACTGCCCAGGACCCAGCCTGGCCCCTCGAGGGGGTCCTCCCGAACTCACTGCCTTCTGCCTGTGGACCCGAGTGCCCTTGGGGCTAGAGAAGGCGTGAAGGCAGCCACGTTTGACAGCCGCCCCTCTGACCCTGTGTCCCGTGCTTGAAACAGCACGTGTAGTGTGTCACCCGCAGTAGAGCAGAGGGCCACACTCACCCCACAGGGGCCCAGGGTGTTCCCCAGGTCTCTGCTGTCCACATCCCTCAGCCTCTCCCCGCAGGGTGGGCCAGGGACGCAGCAGAGACCCAGGCATGCCGGGCGCCACTCTGGGCACGCTGGCCAGACTGGTCTCCCGCGGTCTCAGTGCCGGCGGAGCGGGAGCCTTTGGCTGGAGAGCGGCCCTTTTGCCCTAGCCCTGACGCCGCCCCTGTGTGCAGATCCCGGAAGAGCACGACCTGGAGAGCCAGCTGCGGAAGGAGCGTGAGTGGCGGTTCCTGCGGAACACGCGTGTCAGGAAGCAGGCGCAGCAGCTCATCCAGAAGGGTAAGGCCCGGCTCCCCTGGGCCCGGGGCCTCCCACCACACCCCCAGTCCCCTCACGGTCACGCAGCCCCCAGTGGGCCCCAGAACCCCCGGCCCCCCAACCTCACCTGGCCAGGCCAGCAAGCTCTGAGGAGCGACGGCCAGCCCCTGCTGTCCCAGCCTGGTGCGGGCAGGCGGGAGCCGAGCCACAGGCCCTGCCAGTGTGTGAGCTCTGCCTCGCAGTCCCAGAGCTGCCCGGTGGCCTCTCTCTGGACCGGAGGCTGTGGAATCAGCTGCGTCGTGGACAGCAACGGCGTGGCCAGTTGGCCTGTATCGTGTTCCTGCTGGGGCCGCTGAGCTCTGCACTGACACCGGCACCTCCTCCTTCCGGTCATCTTAGCAGATGAGTGTGTCTCCGCCGATACGCTGGCCGAGGTCCGTGAGCATCCAGTCCTGTGCCAGGAGCTGCAGGGCTCTGAGCCAAGGCAGGGACCCATGGTCAGGGCCCTGCACCCTCCCTCTGAGGACAGCTGGGCTGACAGCACCCCAAGAGCCCCGTTCCCAGTGTGTCCCAGCCCCCTCTAGCACCTGTGCCCCTCATGTCCCTGCGCCCCTCCTCGTCCACAGACAGGGCGCTGATGGCCACCTCCACACACTGTGGTCAGTGCTCCCACGCTGGAGACCAGCCCGGGCCGTCCCTGTCTCTCACAGGCATCACGAGGCTGGACGACCAGATATTTCTGAACAGGAACCCCGGCGTCCCCTCCGTGGTCAAATTTCACCCCTTTACCCCGTGCATAGCTGTGGCCGACAAGGACAGCATCTGGTAGGTGCCCCCACCCCCACCCTGTGCCGCGGGTCTGCCCCCAAGTGGGTGGGGCCCCCGGCCTCCCTCGTGGAAGGTGCTCGTGCAGGAGGGCGCTGGCGCAGTTCAGGTCGCACTGAGGTGTTCCCAGGGCCCCAGTGCAGGCCCCCAGGGTGCTGTCGGGAGCACCCCAGCCGTAACGGAGAGGCGTGTGACAGAGAAGCGTGGAGAGCCCCAGACGGCTGAGAGAAGCAGCTGGATTAGGGGCGCAGTGCCCCCGCACAGTGGGGCGTGCCCGCCACGGGACGGGCCTTCGCTCACGGAGGCTGTGGCCGCAGCTCTCGGCCTTACCCCTGTCTGTGAACTGTGAAACCTGTACGGTGGCATTTTCCTTTCTACCCTTTCCCTTCTCCCTTGATGACGGTGCATGGTGAGGACACGCGTGGAGAGGGAGGCGGAGCCCCACGCGGCCCTCCCCAGCTCTCCAGGCTCAGTGGTACCCCTGCACAGGCACTGTGGGGCAGGGCTGTCCGGCCCGGCCATGGCCACGGCCTGCGTTTAAGTGTCCGGTCCTGTGGCGCTCAGTGCTCTCCTGTCGGTGCATGGCCGCCACCGCCGTCTCCACAGCCACCGTCACCTGATAAAGCTGAACCTCCGCCCTGTGGAACAGCCCCCACCCTGCCCGGCCAGGCGCCCACCGTTCCCTCTGTCTCTGCATCTGACCGCCCCAGGAGCCTCCCCCAAGCGGAGCCTGCAGGGTGTGCACGTGCCAGGCTAACCCCTGAGCACGGGTGCTGTCCAGGTCGGCCACGCTGGGGCCTGCACCCAGCTGCCGTGCTTTTATGGCCGGGCGGCGCTTGTTACCTGGACGCGCCACGTCGTGGCCCTGGGCTGTCAGAGCACTGCAGTGAACGCGGCCGCGCTCGTGGCTCCGAGTCCCTGCCAGAACCCTCGGGCTACCCGGAAGTGGGACTGCTGGGTCACCCACTGTGCCATGGCCGCACCACGGCACGTCCCTCCAGGGCCGCGTTGTCCCCGCCCCCACGCCCTCACTGGCACTTGCTGCCGTCGCCTGTCCTGGTGTGTGAGGCGGTGTCCCTGAGGGCGGCTGACTGTCTCCCTCTCTACCCCTCAGTCTCTGGGACTGGGAGAAGGGGGAGAAGCTGGACTACTTCCACAACGGGAACCCCCGCTACACCAGGGTCACCGCCATGGAGTATCTCAACGGCCAGGACTGCTCCCTTCTGCTGACGGCCACGGGTGAGTGGGCGCCCGCGGGCAGGCAAAGGGGGCAGACCCGTGCCCCGAGACACCTCGGCGGGCTGCTCTGAGGGAGGGCATGGGCAGTGGGCCAGGACTGACTGCTCGTCCTGGGTCCTGGCTCTTCCACGGCAAGGAAAAGCTACTCTCCCCTGTCCTAACCTTCCTGAGAGACCTGCTGGGTCAGAGGCGACACCTGAGAAGGGGGAGACATGCTCAGGACAGGATGGGATGCTCCCTGGCACCTGTGCAGCCAGGTCTGGCGGGCACACTGTTGCACTCGCACCCGCCCTCCCATGGCTCAGGCCGGCTCACACCTGAGCAGTTCTGAGTCCCAGAGAGGAGGAGAGGGCTGTCCAGGGAAGCAGCGAAGGCCACAGCCCAGTGGGTACTGGGGAGAGGGAGCGCAGGGCGGCGGGCAAGGCTGGGTCCTCCGCAGCTCAGTGGGTACTGGGGAGAGGGAGCCCAGAGCACAGGGCGGCAGGCAAGGCTGGTCCTCCTCAGCCCAGTGGCAGTGATGAGCCCACTCTGGGGTCTCCCCGAGGCAGGGGCATCATCCACAGGGACTGGTGGAGGGTGAGGCACTGAGAGACCTGCCCTGCCGTCCGAGGGCTACATGAGACCTGGGAGTCGGAGACAGGAGACGGGCTCCGTGTAGGCCCAACGCTGCCCCTGCCCCTGCTCAGGGACACAATGGCCACTGTCCTCTGAGCTCCGGAAGCTGCGAGGAGAGTCCCCACCCTCCTTAGTCCCAGTCGTGGTCGCATCTGTCGAGGCATCCCGTGTCGGAGCACCGAGAGCAGCGTAGATGGTGTGTAGATGGCGTGTAGAAAGCGCCCTCTGTGTGCGTGCAGTTTTACTTTTCTCAGGGCACCAGTCTGCTGCAGGAGGAGGGCACGCCTGTTCCCTCACCCAGTGCCACCACTGGACCTGGGACCAGGTGCTACCTTGGGCCCAGAGGTCAGGCCGGGATGCGTGCCTGGCCAGGGCAGGTGGAATCCCAGGCCTTCCCAGCCTCCTGTGCGGGCACCTTCCTGGATTGCAGGCAGGGTGGGAACCGGTGTCCACGGGACTGGAACCGTATGTCCAGACCTGGCCACCAGCCCAGGGCACAACTCTTTGTCACAGCGTGTCTGCCAGGGCAGGGCCCAGGGGTCAAGTCCTCTCTGTCTCCTTCCCCAGATGATGGAGCCATCAGGGTCTGGAAGAACTTTGCCGATTTGGAGAAGAACCCGGAGATGGTGACGGCCTGGCAGGGGCTCTCAGACATGCTGCCAACGACCCGAGGTAGGTGCCATCACAGGGCACAGGCAGGGCCTGAAACGGTGACCCAGCAGCTCCTGTCCCGAGGACACTCACACCTCAGGCCTGGCGCTCCGTGGGGCCCAAGCCCAGCCCTGAGTGGGCAGCCACCTGCAGTGGACCCGCCCTAGCTGCGCCCTCAGCCTAGGGTGCATGTTCTGGCCGGGGACAGCACCGGCGACCGGAGCCCTGCCTGGTACTCTCGGCCTGGTCGAGTCCTTGGAGGCCGGGGCAGTGGTCAAGGTCCCTGCATCGGGAGGTCTCGCACATAAGGCAGCCTGCTGGCGGCACTGACCTGTCCCAGGGCAAGTGGGGGGTCCTGCCCAGCCCTGGGCCCAGGTGGCGGTGGTGCCTGTGCCGCCAGGCCAGGGTGAGGGTGTGGCTCTCTGGAGACCCTCCTGCAGCCCAGGCCTTGCCCTGGGAGATCCCCTCCAGTGTGGTCCACAGCCTCGGGCATGGCCCACTCAGGGAGACGACCTGTCACCTGCACCCGCCCTGCTGGCCCGATGGCTGCAGCCTATCACCACCGCCCTGATCTTCGAGGCCGGACATCGGTACAGGCCTGCCTGTCCTTGGGGTGTGTCTCCCCTCTCCTGGCACCGTGCTGGGGATGCCAACCCTCAGGGCATGTCCGCTGGGCTGGGGCTGCCAGCTGCCCCCTCAGGCAGCTCCAGGGCACACGGCTCCTCACGTATGGGTCTTTTAAAACACAGCTATGGGGACCAGCAGATAGCACAATGGTTATGTTACTGGGCTCCCATGTAGTTGACCACGGACCCCGACTTAAACCACACCGGGCACGCGTCCATATGTGCCCAAAATCCTGAGAGGCGAATGGAGGAGATGGGATTATAGGACTGTGGCGTGGCCATCCCCTGGGGAGTGATTTCTCACTTTATGTCTCTGTCTCTCCAGTGAGCACACACACTCTATAGCAAAAATCTCTCTTAAAAACAAAAGAATTGTGTTTAAGTTTTTCAGGGAAAAGACATCACCCACACCCCACCACCCCGGGCCCTTGGGCAGGCCTATGGCTGCCAGGGTCTGTCCTTCCCAGGGTCTCTCCTCTGCTGTGTCTTGTTTTCTCCGTTAGAGCTGAAGCCAGCCCTGCCCCACTCCTGCCGGCAGCAGCTCATCTACGGGCAGCTTGTGGGGGCCTGCCTGCACCCAGACCTCCCCAACCCCAAGGCGCCCACGATTCTGCTGCAGACACATCGCAGGCCGCGTGACCGCCTCCTTGCATTAGTGTCGTGAACCCTGACCAGGGCTGCCCATCCTCAGCGTACTTTGTGAGCACAGGGGATGGTCCATGTGGCCAGGCCACACGAGGCTGGGGGAGGCAGACGTGGAGCCCACGGGCACTCGGCCTGTCCTGCAGCTGCCCATGTGCTCAGCTGCCCTGTGCTCTGCATGGTCCTCAGACTGAGGACAGTCCCATCCCTCAGAGCGTCGCCCTTGGCTTCTGGGGTGAGGGGGGGAGAGCA